TGGTCTGGGAATGGCGCGCGAGCGCTTCAAATGAGTGGTTACGGCGGACAGCATGAGCACGAGCCCCGCCCAGTTGGTGTCCAATCTTCTAGGAACGGCGTCCCTTCTTCCTTGGAAATACATGTCTCGAAGCATCATCACCTTCCGTTAGCCAAGCTATAGAATCATGCCTCGTCCCATCTGATGCTCCTCCACTCTTGCACGCTCTTCCTAGCAAGCAAAAGAGCCTTCGTGTTCCTGACGATGTCATCGGTGCTAACAAACACCTTTTCTTCTCCCCTGATGGCTCTAGCGACATTCTGATAGTAGCGGCCATACGTCCCAGGCAACGTAGGAATGTCTTGAGCAGTCAGCAAGGGCTGAACGGGAGCCGCGCCATTTGCGCCTGCAGAAGGCACTGCGGCTGGTGCTGCGGAAGTCGTGAGACGTCCGAGACGGATGGACAGAGGATCAGAATCGCCGTAGCTACCGAATGAAGCATCCAGAGGGGTAGAGCCAGCTTTCAGTTGGTTCTCTTGAGGGTCCAATCCGCGCTTCTCGTACTGTCACGGATATCAGCCGCATACATTCGCCTGGGCGACGTCAGTCATGTCCAGATTCTGCACCCTTCTTAACCACTCTACTCACGCTTCCGCGCGTACCGCAGACATTCCATCGTATTTGCTCCCCATCCGTCTTGCTAGCAATGCAGCTCGCGCTCAGAGTCGCTCTCAATCCTCCAAGCTTGGTACCTGGAGGTGGAGCGATGCTGTCAGGAGGCAAGGGAGCAGAAGGAGGATAGTGGAAGTGAACCAAAAAGTCGTCCTCCACGTTGTGCGATGCGTCTCGGCCAGACGTGGCAAATGCTGTGATGCGCTCGGGGACACCGAAAGCGTCCAAAGCTTTCCGCGACATTGCGATATTAGCCTCGAGCCCGTTGCGTGTTGCCACACCTCCTACTCACCCTGATCGACAAGATGAGCCCCAAGATCCCAAAGCACTCCTCCACCTTCTTCCCAATCCTTTTCCTCCCTCCATCCCCCCTTTCTCAGAGGTCTGAAACGATCAAAGCGACTCTCTACCGAGACTGGAGCGCCGATGGGCGACGGATGATCGCTGCTCGATGGTCTGAGTAGTGAGAGAAGTGTCAAGTAGTCGCCGTCCAGCCTGCGGTCTGGGAGAGACAGGGCGTAAGTTGCCCACCGATCACCCTCTCATAGCGCGAAATTACACTCACTCTGATACGCGGTGCAGACCACTCCGTTCCTCCGCTCCGCCTCTTTGATGCTCTCTGCCTCCTCATTGGTGAGCGCAGCCGGCTTCTCAATCACGACATGGCAGCCCTTGTCCAAGGCATGCACAGCAAAGTCTCTGTGCGTCGCATTGGCAGTGGTGATAACGACCAGGCTGCCTTTTGGCAAGTGGTCAAACACCGATTCGAAAGTGGGCGCAACCTTGACATCGGGGAAACGTGCTGATGCGTCCGGACCAGACTTGCTTCCCGGACGCTGTTGAATTGTGTGTAGAATAAAGTCTTGAGGGCTAGAGAGGATCAGTGGGAGGTGAAAGGTGCGTGCGGAAGAGCCGTAGCCAATCAGAGCCACAGGGATGGGTGCTGCAGAGCCTCTGGCGACTGGCGCTGGAGCAGACTCGTTAGCGTTGATGGCGACCGACATCATGAAGGTCAAAGACTCGTGAAGGTTAAAAGGCTCGTGACTACCGCTTAATTGATGTGAGAATTAGCGCCAACTCGTCGATCTTGGTGTTAGCGCACAAGAAGATGAAGTCCCAAGTGAGCGAGCGCGAGAGCGGACTTTGATAGATGTGCTTCTATGGTCCTGCTGTGCCCGCCCATGCAGGGAGCAGCGCTCAATCGCAGAATCAAAAGGCCGTGCGAGCGACGCGCGCCATCGAGCCACATCAGCAAGGAGGCGGGCCCCGAAGAAGTCATGCAACAAAGTCAAAGCGGCCGAAGCACGCGAGCAGCCTTATCAACAATTGAGCCTTGAAATCATGATTCAAGGTTGGGCGCAGCGTGCGGCGTACAGTCTGAGTAGGAAATCAGAGACTGCAGTCACGAGTTCAAAATCGTGAATTGTATCCAGAACCAAAGATCACGTAAATCAATGAAGACGTGCGCGCAGCTAGGCTGGCGAGCGCTTTTGAAATCGCGTCCAGCAGGCATCGGGCTAACAAATCGTCAGATAAATTCAAGCTCACGTGC